GACTGCTGCATTTGTTTGTATATCTTTTCATTTGTTAATGATAAATAAATACTACTACTACTACTACTACTACTACTACTACTACTACTAGTAGTAGTATTGCTACTACTAAATAAATAAATGAATAAATAAATAAATTACAATAAATGAATAGATAATTAGCTAAATATGACGAATATTGAAAGGTGAATAGATTGATTGATCGATCGGTGTTATATTTATACACGTTGATACATTAGGTACAGATCAAATTTAGTATACAATGTTACGATATTGTTGGTTTAATAAAATCATGATTTCATTTTCATTAACCTATAAATGGAATTTGAGCACTAAAAATATAAATAAAGAATATATCAATTTTTTTTTCAACGCTTTTCACGAAAGAGTCTATGTATTCCGATGTTTGACGTATGAAGGTTTAATAGTCGATCAGTCATTGTGTGTACTTGTGGATGGATGGATGGATAGAGTGAGACTAGAGTGTTTTCAGATCATGATTTCGAAAATGAGTTTATATCATATATAACATGTTGGAGAGATAGATTATGTTAGATTATATATCAAACGGGCAACTTAAAACTAACGTTTTCGTGATTAAATTTAAACGGATTTTTTGTTAATAAATTTAAAAAGTCAAGATATGAAGAAAATTAAGTTATGCGAGTAGGATATGCGATAAAGAAAGACTCGGTTTCTTTACGCCCTATTTCTGCGCTAAAATGCAAGTCCACCTCAAATTTTACAGTTGATTCTTTTCATACATGTTTACTTCAGTTGGTAGACAGTTATTGAAACACAATCAGATGAAAGAATCCCTAAAATCGCGAAAATATTGAATGTAGTTGTTGATAAGAGCAAAATCATAGGATCATTTCATAATTCTTAAAAAAATTCAAATTGTCTGCGTACAAAGTAGAATGAATTATATCAATATCGACAATCCCAATACATGAATCATCGCACGTGGGTTTGGTCTTATAGAAGCCATTGTCATGTTTTGTTTCAAGAAAATAATCAAAATTAAATTATTATACACGTCTTCATTTGTTAGAAAATAGGATAAAAAATCCCCAAACAATACGAAACAAAATGCAAAATAGAATTTAAAGATGGAACTTTAGAAAACAATAAAGTGTGTATACTCTTTCCACAACAATACAAAATAATATGGCGTTTACACTCGTTTCAAACGCAATTATAAACCAATACTGATTTATTTTTTATATAATGAATTCTATTCCATGCGTCTTTTTAAATATAAAAAGTCAAAGGGTGACATAAGTATCTATGACAGAATTCCACTATTTGGTCAGAAGACCGTCCATGAGACGGTGTGGTCAAAATAAAGACAAATATGATTGATCGATTAAACGTCTACTTCAAGATGAAACATACATAATATGCATGAATAGTTTCAGGTCTGTAGATCTATTAATATCATTGATGGAATGGAATTTAGGACATTTCATTAGTCAAATTAATGTTAATAAAGGTTTACACTTTCCTTTCCGGGGCCTTCGAATTGCCTGAATTACACGGTTGCCATGACAAAGCTAATTTTAATGACTATGACATTATTCTTTTGAATCAGAAATTATTTTTTTTTTTTTACAAAAGGAAAAAATCTATATCGAAAATATTTAACTTACCTTTCAACACTAACAGAATCTTTGTGGGACGCCATCGACAAATGGACGGTATTACGTTTGCATATTTGCTGCCTGTGAGAGCATTCAAATCTTGTTTTAACCGACAGGGAGCAGAATGTTTCAAATGCCTCAATGAATTATGGGAAACTACAAGAGGCGTTGCGTACGGAATGCCAGACTTTTTAAGATACGAAATCAAGGTAAAAAGACGAAGGTAACCAATTGCTTATTTTTATGAATGGAGACTGATTTCATTCACAAACTAAAATTGACTCCTGTGTGGGTGGGAATGCACCATATGCGAGTAGGTATTGAAATGAAAACAGATCAGTTTAGTAACTTATCTTTTACCATAACAAGACATTGTTCAATAATAATAATAATAATAATAATAATAATAATAATAATAATAATAATAATAATAATAATAATAATAATAATAATAAATGGACAGAAGCAAGAAAAAAAAGTAATTATGTCATTTATACCATTGTCTGAATAAAGGCATCAAGATAATCATATTTTTGCGTATTTTTTATGACACTTATTGAGCGAGCATGGCATAGAACCCTAATTCAAATACAAGTCTCCAAACAAGATATTTAATGCAAATTCAAATACAAATCTCCAAAAATGACATCGAACCAAAATTAAAAATAAATCAAGACATACACCCCAAAATTCAAATACAAATCTCCAAACAAGGCATCTAACCCAAATTCATTTGTATGACACTAATCGAGCTTATATGGCACAGAACCCTAATTCAAATACAAATCGCCAAACAAGATATTTAATACAAATTCAAATACAAATCTCCAAATAAGATATAGAACCCAAATTTAATGGTAACCAAATAACATTGACGATTTGCATTAATGGTAACCAAACAACATTAACGATTTGCATATGTGAACTCGTACATTTTATGGCAATCAGAAAACTTTGTCGACTTATGTATATGAACCCATATATTTCATGGTAACCTAATTTGTAATTTTCAGTCTGAATAAAAACAAAATTGAGATTCATGAATTAGACAATGTTCACTATAAATGAAAGAGAACTATGCCATGTGTTATTGTACCTTCAACGATTGATTACCTTAGTTAAAAGTTCTCTGAATAGCACGTAGTTCCCTATGTAACTATTGAGGCAAGCTTACACGTGTGGAAAGCAAGCTAAACAAAAAAAAAGATTTGTCAATAAATAAATAAATATATATTCAAGAAATCGATCAGCCAATCGGGCACAATCCATTTCATGTCCAGTCTCAATTCGTCTACATCAGTAAGTAGTGTATTAATTTACACCAATCTGTCCATTCTCCTCGCGCATATTTTACCAATATTACGTAATACAAGGTCCTAAGGTTAAGTGATAATTTCAGCCAAATAGGAAGTTGTTGTTTTTTCTCGTCAGTTTCGTTTTGGATTGAAGGGATGCAGTTTGGTTGGTTTGATCAGTGATATAATTCTAAAGCTATCCTACTGAGATACACGAACGGTTTTGGTATTTTGAACGTGATTTTTGTATTAAGGTTGTAGATTTGTTTAGTAAGGGGTAATATGTCCAGGCACATGGAAGCTGCGAAAATTTACATCACATTGAACTTTACTCAGTGTAAATATGAAATAGTATCGTTATATCTCGACAGGACAAATTTCAAATGTCATAGTTATCTTTCTGCAATATAAATATGAAATGGTGTCGTTCTCTGGGGCGAATGTCACCAATTAATGAATAAATCAATTTGCTAATTCGTTTATCCTCCCTCTATCTATCCTGAAGTAAATAACCGTGGGGAATTTATATACTATTACACAATTAAAAGATAAATGTATGTGCCTCAGGTATGAAAACCTGAGTAAAATCTCAATTGATACCTCAAGTAGGAAACCCGAATAAAATATAAGTTAAAGCCTCAAGTATGAAGATTGAGTAAAATTTCAAACAAAACCTCAAGTATGAAAATTGAGTACATTCTCAATTAATACCTGAAGTATTCTCAATATCTCAATTATGAAAGGTTGAGTAAAATCTCAATTAATGCCTCAATTATAAAACGCTGAGTAAAATGTCAGGTAAGAAAATCTAATCGTGGCGTACCAATAAGACATTTCACCCTTTTTAAGGAGATCCCTATATTAGCCCCTGTGAAAGATGATTGGACACTTCCTAAACAGGATAGTAGTTTGTACGTGTTAGAGATATCAAGCTAAAACATTAACACAGCCCACTTAAAGTGTCTATTTAAATGTACATTCCCTTGCACAGTTCTGTTACTCGTCCTTTAAAATCCGTTCCCTGTCTGTAACACATTCTAAAAAAAAAAAACACAAGAGATAATACGGCGCAGCCTTCATCAAAATTTACTCATAATGTCAGGGCAGTCTGCAGTGTTCACACAAAGATAGCTTTCCAGTCATCGAACCCGGAAGATTCACGTGATGCAGTCTGTTGATTTGTTTTGTATCTGACAGTTCACTATCATAAATCAGATACAAGAACCAGGAAGAGCCCTGTCGTGCAGTCTATATTTTTTAAAAAAATATAAATCTGATAATCTGATAATCTGAGTGTTCAGGATCACACATCACTGCAAGACTGAAAACCTTTCTTGCAACTGATATCAATTGTTTTTAAAAAAAAGTCTAACCTATGATGGCGTGCGCGTGCGTGCGCGCGTGCGTGTGTGTATATTTTGGATTTATAACGTAGCTTTAACAATTTTTCAGTCATATCGCTACGATGTCTGCAATGTGTCTGTTTATAGCAATGTTTAAAACTAGGGCTTCATGCCGCTGACGAGTCCAATACCCCCTCCCCCAATCTGTGTTGATTCTGATGGACTATATACGGGTCTACTGTCACCTGTGCATTCAAATGGGAAATTTTGATACATGCAAATCATTCCGGAACAACCCTGCGTACACTTTAGACAAATACCGGTAATTAGTATCAGCCATATCTAGCGCGAAATTTCAAAATTGTCACAAGACAGATGGTCATGTTATTCCGCGTGGATTTACAAGTCACCAAACAGAGAATGTGCACCAAAAATATAATGTACATGTCACCAAAAAAAAACCCTTCAGTAGACCGTCGCTCCACAGCCACGATAAATACCATTAAGTGTATTAAATGCACACCGATGTGTGCAGACAACTAACCAGAAATCAACATCACGGGTGAGCTGCTGATTTATCGCCTAGCAGCAAACATGTAGCATTATATCCCGACTAATCACTTTATGCTGACGCCAGGTCGACCACTATTAACATTAACCTCTTAAAGCTAAGCACCTGTCGAGGTAGATGTTAGTTCCATTTTTATAAGTCTTTGGTATGATTTGGCCGGGGTTTAAACACGCGACCTCCCGCATCAGAGGCGGAGGCTCTAACCAATAGGCCACCGGAGCAGTCCTAATATATGACGGATAAAGGAAAACCAAATTAGAATGGGTCATAAACTTCTAATAAATTCGAAGAAAAAAAAAAGGTCATTATAGTAGAAAACGAGATTAATGTAACTGAAAATACAAGTATTAACAAAAAAACTCTACAGTAATAAAGACAAGATACTATTTGAAAAATAAATACATGCTATCAATCAGATCAATTAAAGCCGACTTGTAATGAGATGGCATCTATTAAAATACATTTGTAAGGGCATCAGAGAGACACTTTAAGTTAGGTAAATAAACGATTTCAAACAAGTTTAATAACTTTTTATTTTCAGTTATGTATAAAGTTTATGAGAACAGCTCGAAGTCAAAATCATTTTCTGAATATGAGAGAGAGAGAGAGAGAGAGAGAGAGAGAGAGAGAGAGAGAGAGAGAGAGAGAGAGAGAGAGAGAGAGAGAGAGAGAGAGAGAGAGAGAGAGAGAGAGAGTACTTTTCTTTTTTTCACGTAATTGCAATGCATTGACTCTTTCTAAATGGTTGTTTGCAGCGGAATAGCAATTATAACAAGCACCTCACAGAATTCGTTTAATTCACACGGCGTCTAATACTTGTATAATTCATATGGCGTCCGATATTCGTACAATTCACACGGCCTGCAAACACTTTATTGGAGATTAGAATTAAAATATCCACTAATGAAAAACCTCCGTGAAAATCCAACATTTCTCGGCAGAAGGTGTAAGATTCCAAGAAGAAAAGAAAAAAAGATGCCACACGTCATTTCCCATGAGATAGATCTGCATAATGTGTCTCCTATGAGAACCTACGTAATTTACCATGCCTTATATTTCCTCAATTTTTCTCCTTTCACTACACACGTCATTTTCCATGCCATAGACTTGCCCAAATTTTCATCTCTCAGGACACACATATTTTTTATGTCATAAATTTGCACAATTTTCTTCATGACATTAAAATAACGGTCGTTTACTGGAACAAGTTCGGGACCTGGAGCACGTTTACTCGTATCAAGTCTTAGGACAGCAGACTTCAAAACGATGACTTGGGTTTGCGGTAGTACATTGTTTACACAATTCTTCGTAGCAGCTGACAGGACAACCCTAGTTTGGGTTTTATCACTGAGTATGTTTTATGCTTTTGTATTATTTAATCTAACCTAATAAAATAACTACTGTCATATAAATCATGTTGAATGTGATATTGTCGCGACTGATTTCACCATGTTCAATTTAGCACTATACGCAATACTACAGTCAAACATTGAGATGTTCCTGTGTGTGGGTGTTTAACTTGTTTTCATATGCTTGCTTTCATCCATTTTGTTTTCAAAATGGATAATGGCAGATTTCATGACTCAGTGTGGCCTTCTAAAGAAGTTACTTGGACAAGCGCTTGCAGTCAGGAACATGTTCGCCAGTCGTTTCATGTAATAGTCGGCGTCGACGTGTACGAAATGATTTACATATCTTGACTCTAGTTCTGTTTATGTTATTCCATTCCGACCTGTATTCGTAGTCATTTTTTTTCCTTCTGTCCCTGTCTATTATGGTAAACCACATGGCTTGTATCAAGTTCCTTTCTGTGTCTTTATAACAATCCTTTTTGGAATGAATGAGATGTACGGACTTCACTGTTAGAAAAAGATTTACACGCATACCGTTGACATTCATTATAATTATGTACTATATCTTCCGAAAATCGAGTCCATCCTGCTAAGATTCGTTACTTGGATGATTTTTACAAGATTTCTAGAGATATACGCCATCCGGTAAAGTCTCATTTGAACACCTCATGAAAAATGTGCGCTGCACATAAAATACATTACGTTTTGAAAATGTCTTCACTGAAGTACAACCGATACAAATTAAGCAGTGTAAATATGCTGCACGCCGACACTTCGACTTGAAATCCTATCTGCGCAATATCTGACGTTTGACCTAGATTTTAAGCTAAACTTGTTTACAACAGAATCGCACTGTAGCTATAACCCAATACGTGTAACCAACTATACGATATATCTGGGCTAATTTGTGTCTAATTTATCACGCTTGCAAAATATTTATAAGGTGAAGAGAAATAAAATGGAGACACTCGCAGTAATACCCCACCCCACCCATATTAGAGAACATTGCTTAATTTACCTACTACCACAATTTCTTCAACCCTTCACCTTATGTTAGATTTTATGTGACGATAAAAGCAAACGAATTAGAAGGACTAAATTAAAACTAGATTCAATTTAAAATATAGGACCTTACACTGACGAACAGGATCAAACAATGACACCCATCACCAATCACCCGTGCACCAGAGTTCTGATCCACCTGGTTGTGCATTCATCCTCTAAAAATTATCAAACAAGGTGGAAAGAAAGAACGACAGGAACATGCCAACCATCTCGTTAGACAGGCCGACATCATCGTTCAGCTCAATGCACAATTCCATTGGATTTCTATTTCGAAATACAAGATAAATATATGAAATTATAATTACAAATTGACACTTACATACCAAACACTGGATTTCTATTTAGAAATACAAGATAAATGCATGAAATTATAATAACAAATTGACACTTACATGCCAAAGACTGGATTTCTATTTAGAAATACTAGATAAATACATGAAATTATAATTACAAATTGACACATACACACCAAACACTGGATTTCTATTTAGAAATACAAGATAAATACATGAAATTATAATTACAAATTGACACTTACATACCAAATACTGGATTTTTATTTAGAAATACAAGATAAATGCATTAAATTATAATTAAAAATGACACATCTGTACCAAAGAGAGGAAGGAAGAATATCAGGGTTTCACGTTGCATGCATGGATAAATGATTATGTTAGAGAAGTTTATATAAAATGACACACTCTTAATCGAACACTTGATTGCGTATATTCACTTCAATGTCACGTGGTACTATCACGTTCCAAATTATTTCACACTTTAGCGAAAAAGTCATTATGGGTTGGCTGCACCGGCATTGGCGTTGCCTCCCTTTCGTAATATATCTAATTTTTTTTTTTTTTTACATATCTATGAGTAAAAATGAATGACAAGTCTGAAAGGAAGGCAACGTCAATGATTAATTTCAAATTTACTTCTCATTAAATCGGGATTTGATAATTATGAATTGAAATAACATTTATGGGTATGTTGTCACAATTTCAAACTTTTTAGTTATATGTAATCGGTAATGCGACAAATACAGCAAACTATTAAAATCTATCACATCAAATGGTTAATAAAGTTTACTTATTTACAAGATATCACCACATAAGTAACATTACGTTAAGGAACTGAGATTCAGAGGGCATTCACCACAAAAGTTACATTACGTCAAGGGGCCCATAGTGTCTGAGTGGTCTAAAGAGCTGTCCGTTACGGATCACTGCCATCTCACCTCTGCGTGGGTTCGAGTCTAACATTTGGCGAATGTGAATAGGTGAGAAAGCTTACCAGTAGCTTATCGTGGGTCGGTGGTTCTTTCCGGTGATTTCCCGGTTTCTTCCTCCACCTTTAACGCTGGCCGCCAGTATAGCCTATCGTGTGCTGAAAAATGGCGTTAAGCCCCAAAACAACAACAACAACATTACGTCAAAGGTATTGAGATCCAGGTGATGTCACGAGCATCCTACGGTATTATTTCTAACACCGGAGGAAGTTGATAATTAAAACTGAAATAGCTCTGAGCTCTCAGTCAGCAATGAAGACGGTCTAGGTGTATAAATAACTTAAGATGAAAGGTATAACAATTTTAAAAAATATATAAAATGTATTCAACTATTTAATCGACTAATTTCCCAACCGCAATTTCTTTCGAACAAATACAAACAATGCTCTATTAACAGTTGCCAATTACTATTTCATCATATGAATTTAAGGTTTTAAATGACAATGTTTCTCTCCAGTGTTGTCTCTGTTGCTCATCTGTCCGCCTCTTGTTTCTCTTTTGTATTTCTGGTACCCTTGACTACATGCTCTCCTGGCATTTCTTGATTCGCCCTTCCGGTACTCTCTTCCATGTTTCCTTCCGGCACTGCGCCTCCATACAAACTGATAAAGTCACAATAGACCTCCAATGAGCTCTTAATGTGTCTTCCAACTCTCCGATTCCTAGGTGTCGGCCTTTACACCCACCCGGAAAGTTTTCTCAAGAAGCCTTGGTCCGCAGATCCAAACTTGAATTTCACTAAAATTTCGTATTGCCATTTAACGAATGCACAACTTCGGCTGCCCGGAGTACAGTCTAATGCCTCCCAACTTATCTACGATCTACATCTGGCGACTTTCGTACATGTTCTGATGGAAAAAGAGCGTAGTCGGGACAAATTGCTTAATGAAACTCCGCCATAGATTTGAATCTCTCAATTTCGATTGGATACGGTCTGGTCTCTTTGAAAACTGCCATGTGTTAATTTAATACTTACCTGTTTCGCTAGGGTTTCCGGTCCCCAAAAGTCCGAATCTGCTCCAAGCCGGTCATGGCATCACTGGCTGAGTGCAAAACAAACAAAGGCGTCTCTACCTGATCGTAGAATTCCCTTTGAGTTTAACCGTGAAAACTTCGTTGCGTAATAGTTAAACAACAAGCAGGCAGGTTCTTGTGTCAAGAAACGGGTCTATAGTCTTAATGGTACCTAATACTTATTGACGTTACCCCAGGTGCTCATAACTACGAATTAATTATAAAAAAAATATATGTATGCATGAAATATGAACCATAAACAAAATTTTCCCACAACTTAAAAGAGGACTTTTACCATAGAACTAACACTGCGTCAAAAATGCTGGGGTTGAGAGTCTTTTACCACAGAAGTAACATTACGTTAAGGTGTGATGGGATCCAAATGACTTTCACAACAGAACTGACATTGCGTCAAAGATGTTGGGATTCACAATACGTTTCAGCAGATCTAACATTAAAGCAAAGGAACTGGAATTATTCGTTTACTTTAAGTGAAAAAGCAAAA